GTTCTCGAGAAGCAAAACTGCGAAAGATGCCTTTAAGTTCAAAGTCCGAGTGTTCGTTTTTACCCTGGAAAGATATCAAAAGATAAAATGCGAATAAAAACTATTAACGCCACTTACTTTGAAGCGTTTTTTAGGCACCCCGTTGAGCGATGACAAATCATTGTGTAGTTCGACAAAACATCCACCAGTATCCAAAACTGTGATACCCTCTGTGGAACAGTTAAGATGTGACGTTGGAGGTTCCACCTTAGCAACATAATCCCAATATTTACAATGGGGAAGGTATTAAGGTAGGACAATGAACTCACTTTTTTGAATTCTGATGGGATACATGCTGTCAGCACTTCCGTCACGCTACGATTACCGTTTTCGAGAGGGATAATCCACTGTGCTCCCGTGAAGCTCGTCAGCTATAAAACAAAATTCACTTACATACTTCGAAATCTATTCAAAAGGTAGGAACTACATTGATTTGCGAGGGACCTACAAGAACATCGCTATTATCGTCATTCTGCAAGACTTCCACTTCGTGTATGCTTTGAGGAGCAGATAACTCAGCTACACATTTACGACTACTTAAATCAACCAGAAATATGGTTCCAGCCTGAAATTGAAGAACTGAGCAATCAATAAGAATGTTACTAAAAATAAGGCCATGGACGTAATTTTCCTTATTCCACAGAGCTTCCGAATTAGGTTTGTACACTCGAGATCCCTGAGATCGGGTAGGCGTGGCCGCATGTTTCAACTTATCCTTAAGGCGTCTACGCTTCTGATGCGATATTTTCACCTCGACACAATCGTTGTCGTGTCTCTGTCCAACAGAGAACAAGATGACAGTTGTCCCAGACTGGAATATTCCACTAGTAACCAGTTCCTTACAGTGTTCGAATGCTCCGCCTACCCGATCTCAGGGATTTCGAGTATAATTACCATCATATTTACATTTGTGACCGCTAACCAATGTCAAAAGCACTCAGAGGCCGTTAGTGCGAATGAAGTGACTGGGCTTCCCTCTGCCACTTCAAAATCTAAAATTACGTGAAATGGATCAATTCAATATGCCCAGGTGGACCCGTTCGCAGCCCTAGAAACAATACACTCCGGCTATTTGAAGAAGGGGACACACTAGACACACACCCACGACTTATCCGTGCCCTCTCACGTATGGCTATGAGACGGACAAGACACTCGTGACTTGCCGCGTCGTCGCGCACGGCACATCCTGCGCAACTTCTCGATGTTCATCAGTATGTCGATTGGAGCAAAGAAACTCACATTCACTCACACTCACAACAAACTTCAAACTCAAGCGGAGACAAGACTTCATGGCGAGTGATATAGAATTTTTCCGTTCCCTCAACACTGGAAACGCAGAGGCAGGGTAATTCGTCCAGAGGGTGCGGCGACGCTCGCTGCGACCATCAGCGCGACTTATTACGATTGTCTTGTCACATGCCCCTACCTGTATGACGCATGTACATACTGCGTTCCAAATTTCTTGCGGAGACATAAGAAACAAGCTATTACAAGCCCGTAGCTCCATGACTGCCCACTTTCGAACAACCGAAGTGCTTTATTTCATTGGCAGTGTACCCTTGCGCCTCGCAAACGGGAGATATCTACCTCCTAAGATCCACCAGCTTCTTTTCGACAGTTTCTCCATTCCAATGATTGATAAGCTGCAGCAAAAATCTCATAAAAACGAGTTCTTTGGTGTCAGAGTGAAAAATGGCATCTACTCAATATTACACCCCCTGTTGTTGTGACCCGTAGAAACGCAACGGCTGGAGTGTTGCTGCCAGTGATAAATTACATTCTAAACAAAAAGGAAGTGTGACACTCAAGCAATCAATCAAGTTCTTATGGAAATAGATAAACATGCCGGTCTATAAGTTTCACTATTGGGGTAGATTACTGCTGAGACCTTCTTGATGTATTACACTTTCACTTAAAGGCAAAAGGCCTGATAAATCGACAAGGCATATGGGTTAAATACGCCTAGCACGGAAGGAATACTGTGATTAATCAAGAGGGCCTTTATGGCGCCTAACCAAGAGGGCCTTTATAGCGCCTAACCAAGGTTTAGCAT